TCTCTTTGACGAAGTTACTGCCAAGGTATGTTCATTGTTTCTATTTGTGTTTGTTACTGATGCAGACCTGTTGTGGTGCAGATGTATTTATCTGTATTTGGGCTCACTGTTACCTATGTAAGTCGACACATTTCCATAGTAAAAGCCTTCACTAAGAGCTGCTAGATCAAGGAGGCCTACCTTTTTCAGCTCTAAATACTGCAGGGATGGTCCATCCCACCATGACTGTTTAACTACATGTTTTTAATCCTGTTCTAAATGGACTGTTTTGCTCTGAAAACCAATGAGCTGCTGTTGTACATGTAGTCTTAAGAGGCTGTGTTTCAGTCACTATTTCAATATTTAGATGAAAACAGCTTTATTAGAAATATAAACACTGGCAAAAGCTAAGGGTGTGTTAAATAAGAAAACAAAGTAATCCACACAGTCCTTGATAATTGTTTTCAAATCAGTCTTAAAGTTTCCACCATCTCTGAACGTCCCTCACTGTTACAATTTTCATAAGGTTCACGCTGGCCACACTCACCTGTGGCCACAGCTAAAGGTAAAGTTGGCCACATAACCCACACAAAATGCTAATGCTAAGAATTTTGCTATTGTTGTGGGGACATTACTATCAAAAATAAAAGTAATAAAGGGGCACTTGAGCAATTGCAGAAACACGTGTCTTCATATTAACAGCTTTTCCTGCACATCTTAGAACAACCACAAAACACCATAAAAATAGATTTTCACCATATGGGACCTTTAAATCAAGTTTGACTTGCTTTGCCTTTATCATTCCTTGGTATATTTTTCCCTTCTTCAGTTGGAGAGAGAAAAGTCAATCAAGAATGCCACTGAATGGGCTTTGAGTCAGTACTACGCCAACTACTCCTCCTTCTACAACACGACAGATGTGCCTCCGCCAGATGTGCACCCAGCCGACATTGTCAGAGGACCCTGCTGGGAGACTGGAGTGGGAATAGTCAGTAGTGGTATTATTCATTATTTCCTTACCATTAAATTGTTGAAAAAAAAGGGAAATAAACCCAAAACAAAACATGTGTTACCACACACAGAAGACGCCAGTGAGCCTGATTTGATTACATAGCTTGTATTTGTCCTTATTTATTGACTTGTTTGTTGTTTTTTGTTGCTGTGCAGGAATTTGTAAAGCTGATAGTGTCAGATGTGCAGGTGAGCTATTTGACCATCCTGATCGGTGACTTTGTGCGAGCTGTCATTGTCCGTTTCCTCAACTACTGCTGGTGCTGGGACCTGGAGGCTGGATTTGTGAGTTTCAGTTTGTCACAATGTGTTCATTACATGCATTTGTTTGGTAATCTTCATCATTCTTAGACAAAAATAATAAAGAGTCAATCATTTGTTTTTACTTATCCAATAAAACATTTCACATTTTTCCTATGCTGTAAGCCACATTATCTATACATTTGTTTATGCTGTCATGTGACTGGTTGTCAATTTCAAGTGCTTGTATCAGTTTAAGTGTCTATATTATTGCATAACAATTGCATGATTCAGCTATTATTGAACACTGTGTGAGCACAGCGCAGTCAGTATTAGAGCCGAGTCAACCTGATACTATACGATGACATCTGGCAAGACAGCTGATCCCAAACATTGAGCGAAACAGGACACTGCAATGAGAACTTAATTACAGAGAGAGAGAGAGGCACGGAGAGAGAGCAGCAAATGTAAAGTGTAGTGACCTGCTGTTTACTAATTCAGGTGGACATGCTAATCATGCTGCTGTGTTAATTCCAGCCATCATATGGAGAGTTTGACATCAGTGGAAATGTGCTGGGGCTCGTCTTCAATCAAGGAATGATATGGTGAATTATCTGCATGTTCATTTTGTTTTCCATTTTTTCTACATGAACAGGGATTGTCTAATGTGAAATGCAGCTCGTGTTTCTTTGTTGTCTTTCTTCAGTGCGCTTTTAATTAACACAATAGTGGCTGCTTCTTCCAATCTGATATGTAACTCGTTTGATTGTTGGTATCAGGGGCAAACTGTTACAAAACTCAAACTAATGACTTTGAATCATTAATTAGAATGTTCAGCAAGTTTCTGTTGGAAATTAAATAATAATAATAATATGGCTAAATCTGCTGTTTTCCTCAGGATGGGAGCATTTTATGCTCCAGGTCTGGTGGGTCTGAACGTGCTGCGTCTCCTGACCTCCATGTACTACCAGTGCTGGGCAGTGATGGCCTGTAATGTCCCACACGAGCGAGTTTTCAAGGCCTCACGGTCCAACAACTTCTACATGGGCCTGCTGCTGCTTGTGCTGTTCCTCAGTCTCCTTCCTGTTGTCTACACCATCATGACGCTGCCTCCGTCCTTTGACTGTGGGCCGTTCAGGTCAGTAGGAGATAGCGATAGCAGAAGTGAAATGGTACATGATGAATGTGAAATATGAATCAATACTAGTATTATTTACAAGTATTTTAATCACTTACTATTCTGTGTGTGAAGCATCAGTCTCTATTCGCAAGCAAAGTGTCCCAATTATTAGAAGTTAGAGGAAGTTTTTTTTTTTTTTGTGACACTTTCATTTTTAACGTTTAACTTGGTCATTTCTGTTCATTAAAAGTTAAACAGGGTGAACATACTATTAATGTTTCTATTACTATTAGTCTTGGGTTGTTAGTATTAACATACCACACTTTTTTCACATTTTCCTAGCACTAGCAGACAACAGCAACACAGATAGTTTTATTTTATTTTTTAGGTGTCCAGTAAATAGATATAACAGAGCGTGCAAATCACTTTAACTGTGATTTGGTTGCAATTTTTTATCCAATGATTAGCTACAACAAAGTTTCCCGTTGTTTCCCCCACAGCGGTCAGGAGAAGATGTACGACGTGGTGATGGAGACTATAGAACAGGATCTACCTGCTTTCATAGGCAACATTTTCACGTATGCCACCAACCCTGGACTCATCATGCCCGCGGTCCTCCTCATGGTGTAAGTAGAACTTAAATATCTAGTGAAATACTGTTTAAATAAAAATAATTAGTTTTTCAGTTACTTAAACTTTTTTTTTTTTGTATTTTTAAGTGTGTATTTATTTATTTATTTATTTATGTGAAAATTGTCAGAAGATTTCTGCATTTGGATAACATATTTGGATCCATTAAAATGGACTTTCTTATAAATTTCTATGTGTAGGAAATTCAGTCAATATTAGCGAGTGATGGTACAGTGGTGATTATACACACTGTTGTCTCACACTGTCTTCTCTGATACAACCACACAGGGGCACCAAAGTCTGTCTTTTTTGGCAGAGTATAGAAAAATGTGTACTCATTTAGCTTAAAAATGCCAAAATAATATCTATAATCAAATCACAAAACCTGATATTAATGTCTATCACTCTGTGTTCGAAGCCTGACTGAGATCTAACCTGCTGTGCTGTTTTTTCTCTTGTAACACATTTTTGCTGTGTAACAGGTTGGCCATCTACTACCTAAACACTGTGTCAAAGGGATACCAACAAGCAAACTTGGACCTTAAAAAGAAGATGCAAATGGTCAGTATGAGTGTTGTCGTCCTTTCCCTTTTTTCTTTTCAAATAAATAATGTTTTTGTTCAAGATTTAATCAAACAAATGAGCATTTCACTGGTTGACACTTCAGGCTCGAGATGAGGAGAAGAACCGCAGGAACAACAAGGACAGCACTAATGAAGTGATGAAAGACTTGGAGGACCTGCTGCCAAACAAGTCTCTAATACCGCCTCCGATCGAGGAGGAGCCCCCACCTGGTAAAATCCCACACTCTCATATTCCTTTATTTTCAGTCAACCATCCACGTTTCCTCACTACTTATTTTCCTCTACATCGGTCTTCTCAGATGTTGTAGTTGAAAAGAGCAGCAAGTCTACCAAAACGAAGCCGGGTTCAGCAGGGAAAGGTGTCAATCTGCAAAAGGAGGTGTCACTGGCTGCCCCGAACCCCAGAGGGCCAGTGACCCGAGCCCCGGGGCCGAGAGGAGGGCCTCCTGGAAATGCCAGGGGGCCACAGCCTGGGCCTGGCAGGGGCAGGGGTCGGGGTGCACCTCGGAGGAACTGAGATGCATGAACCACTCAAATCCACTCAATAGAAACCACTCACCACAAACAGCAGGTGTCTGTTAGCACCACTGCTGCTGTCTTAGTCACACATGGATGGATGTGTCACTGGAATAATTATAGACTTTTACTTCTGGTTGAATACAGTGATATCTTAAACTAAATTAGGTCAAAGTTGTGGACATTTTAATTCAATAAAATTAACAAACATAAAAAAAAATCACTACTTTAGTCATAGTAAATTTATTGCATATTTGAAAAGCATTCAAATTCGTATTGTAAACATGCTAAATAATGTATTCATTATAATTAATGGAAAAAGTCTATAATTATTGTAGCGGGACTTTGTGTAAACACACAAAATACAGTACTGCTTTATCGGTCGTACTAATATTACAACAGTTAAAAAACAAAACTATGGCACAGCTTATTATCCCTATATATAGCAAGACATGGGATTGATCCTGTTTACTACATTGATATGAGTGTAAGGTTTACTGGTTATCGATACGGGATGCTTTTATTGATTTCATTTTGAAATCCGTGTAAATAATTTGTAAATTGTCTTTCTATTTTTTGTATGATGTCCAATAAAATATTTGATTTCTGACAAAATGCTCTTTAAGTTTTTATATCTGATCAAAAATGGGCTTTTTAAATTCTGAAACAAAAAAGAGACAACGCAATAAAGAACTTACTGTCTTCTAACCTGTACAGTAAAGGAACATGAAAAAATGAAAGTGAGCATTGTAACATTAACAAGATGCTATTAATATAGGGCATTTCTTAGCAGAAAACAGGAATAAACGTTCATGAAGTGACACACAACGGACGACGTCTTCAGAGCATCCAGGTGCCAAATCGTCTGAAGAATTTATGGGATGGATTATAATGGATGGTACAAAGTTAGTCCAACATTATTATGAGTTCTTCTGTGAGATTTTAATGGTGACTGCTTTGACCTCTGTGTACTCCTGAAGAGCGTATTCCCCCCTGAAATAAAACAAACAACGCTGATTATGTAGAGGAAAAAAATCATGTGTTAACTCACATTAAATTACCATTTACGAGTGCAGTTGCAGTGTTACAATTACCAAAGTACTGACCTATATGTAGCTGTGTGTTGGACATAAATACAGCAAGTATAAAAGGCTATTGCCCAAGAGATTATACAACAGTATCACTCACAGTTCCCTTCCATTCCCAGACATCTTGAAGCCACCGAACGGACACTGAGCACTCATGGCATTGTAGCAGTTCACCCTAGAAAAAAAAGCAGCATTAGTTTCACCTCCTTACATAACAATCAAAGGCTGTTTGCCAACGACTTTATCAAAGAAATTCCCCACTTTGTGTTGAAGCAGCAACAGACACATACTTTTTTGCTTGAACTCATCATGTTAAAGCAACGTATGGCTGTAGAATAATGACACCATTGGCCTTTGGTTCCCTAAAAGTCTTGCTTTCATTATGCAATTCTGTCTGCCACGGAGTCTGAAATCTCACGGGAAAGTGAAGGCTCGATTTACGGGTAAAAGAACAACCCGAGTAACTGTGGAAACCCTACCTGGCAAAGGAAAAAGAGCCTCGTTGTTGGAGGAGGCAAAGAGCGCGAAGAGGGAGACTGATAGAAACCGAGGTAAAACAAGACTGAACCTCAGACGGGTATTCACTCAGTCCAAAGAGCTCCGGGACATGAGAGGGTTCAAGTCTGCCATTCAGGTGGTCGTTTTTCTACGAGATCAGCAACTAGTAAAGCCTGACTACTTATTAATACAACCAAGTGTTTTACTCAGCCTTTATCATAACACTGAGAGCAGCCTCTCTATTTCAGATTGGGATTCTTGTGGTTGTTCCTTGCTGTGGACAGCAGCCAGGCTGTGAGTGGTGGCCCTTTGACTAACGCTGCCACTAGCAGCCAGAAAACAAACCGGGAGCTTCTTCCTTTTCTCCTTGTTCCAGTGAACCAGTCTCTTTCAGTGTCTAATATTATTGCAAGCCGTTTTAACATGTAATAACCAAATTTGACAATCTGGAATTAAAAGATATCAACAACATCATTGTGAGGATATTTATAGCGCCATTGTGACCGGTCAAAAACAACAGCTCAGTTTGGATGAGTCAGAACAGTAGTTGCAGAAATCTCAAACATCATCATGATTATTGTGATGCATTATGGTGATCAGGTCAGGCTTCCCATTGGATGTTGAGCCAACAAAGAATCTGAAAAGTGTTAGCGGAAGTAATGGCAACTGTTGGATTTGGATAAGTGTTGTGGGATTCTTTGGAATTGAACAAAAGACAAAACTGATTTTTAGAGTTACATAAAAGACAAACCTCAAGATATGATTAGGAAGGTTCAGTAAATGTGGAAATAAGACTAAAATGTTATATGTAAAAGTTAAGCATAAAGAGATAATGAGAGGAAATTATATCATGTGTAAACAAAACAAAAAGTTATGAATATACTGGACAAACTTATGGAAAAAATAAAATAAAAATGAAAATGAAAATCTACAGAAGCCTGTGACCTGCTGGCAAGCTGGGATACAGCAGGCCTGACACGCATGCCATCTCCCTCGCGCTGCGAGTTCAGATAAGGACACCACAGCCTGGAAATGACCCAGTAAAGATGGTGTCCGGAAAGTCATAAGAAGCCCACCACTGGGGCACTGGGGGGGGGCGTGCAAGCAGGAACCCTGTGTAGCAGCAGAGTCTTAAATTATGCTGTGCTAAGCAGGACATAATGCTGACTATGGACTCTCTGATGGGTATCAAAGAAATCAGGCTGGGGTTTTTCTATGGTAGGAGGGAGTTGGATGAAGTTTGCAAGTATATAAGGACATGTAATACATTGTTAGCCAGCCAAGTCTCGAGATTTTGCTCATGTTTGTTCGTGCAGCCTCTGTTTCGAATAAACAATATTCCCATCAGACTCTGATGACTGTTTGGAGACTTTTTCCTTCTCGTACAACTTTTTTTTGGGACCTGAAGTAAGTGTTTTAATGATGGTACCTGATCATTGCTGGCCCGACCCAGGCAAACTGAGTCACGACATAAGATCATTAGAAAATGCTGTGAAATAAGAAGGAAGGAGTTGTGATTTAAATTTACAAAAACCTCGGCCTCGGCTGACATGGCGTAAAACACCTGTCATATGGGATTATGATTGCGGTGCCATACTATGTTCAAAACCAAGCCGCCTCTTCCTCCTGCTTGCCATAGTTTTTGATGTAACTACAAAATTCTACAAGGTGATTTCACCAAGTTTGTACTCCAATTCAAGATATTTGTAATGACATACTGACTGAGCAGGATTCCAGTTTGAGATACCTACAATATCCTTTTTACTTGTCATAATTCCGGTTCAAGATATTGACAGCATCACTCGGACTCGTTAAAACTTAATTTAATACATCTAAAAATGTAGATATCTTGAATTGAAGGAAACTATAATTATGACTGCTCGGAACTAAACAGTAAATATCTGAAATGTTATTTACAACTCATCATAACTCAGCTGCATTTATTTGTAGTTCACATTGTGGATATCTGCAACAGACCTGTACAGTATTTGTCTGTATTAACAAAACCCCATTCATATAAATTGTAAGTGATGTAATCTGTCCTCAAAAGAATAACTTTGTGCATATCAGAAGTGTTCTTTTTCACTAGGAAGACTAGAACTCGGGATATTTGCAAAACATATCCAGTCTAGCTGCTAAATGTTATAACAGCCATTCTAATATAACTTTAAGGAAGACCTCCAGGAGGATTTAATCCTTACCAGACCATCCCAGCCTGCAGAGCAGACGACACTGTGAGAGCTTTGTTAATGTCATTAGTAAACACTCCTGCTGCCAGGCCGTAGTGTGTGGCGTTTGCTCTCTGGATGACTTCACTGATGCTACGGAAACACATGATCTGCTGCACTGGACCAAAAATCTGACAGAATACAGGATGAAAACAATAGATAAGGAGAAAATGTAGAGCAGGGGTAGACTAAAGACCCAGATCATGTATTTTATCATGTGCACTATCTAGTGGTTTTGAGTACCTCTTCTTTGGCTATGAGCATATCGTCTGTGACATTTGAGAAGACGGTGGGTTGGATGAAAAGTCCGTGCTGACCCCACATGGACCCACCGCACTCCAGCGTGGCCCCCTCCCTCTTCCCGCTTTCTATCAGCTCCATTATCTTATCAAACTGCTTCTGGTCAATCTTCAAAAAAACAGCACACAGTAGCTCACATAATTTCTTCTTTCTTGCAGTTTGGCCCATTAAAAAGTGTATCAGAAGTTGAATAAATACAGTTTACGGTATACCTGTGGTCCCTGATCCACACCTGGCAGGAGTGGGTTTCCCAGGACTTTGGATCTGGCCATTTCTGCACTGCGACGGACGAACTCCTCGTAGATTGGTTCCTCTACAAACACCCTGGATCCAGCCAGACAGCACTGGCCCTGGTTAAAGAACAGACCACTATGGGCCTGCTCCACCGCATATTCTACTGCAAGATACACATGTACGCATAAAGTCTAAAATACTGCACCTAGACTGTTGACAAGAGGTAAGCAGGGTTGCACAAGCATAATATCTTTTTGCTTATAGTGCTCTTTAACACAGTTTAAAAGGTTTTGACCAGCAGTGGAACATAATGTGGAGCTGCATCTAACAATATGTTTGAGCTTCAGCTTCTGCCAATTCTATCAAGCTCACTCCACATTCTGCAGAAGGTTAACAATGTTTAATTTTTTACCAATTTGTCTCCAAACACTGGCTATCCTCCTTTAACAAAAGGTCACATTCGATTTATTGGTTTGTTTGATGCAACTTTAACATTCAGTGTCTTTTATGCACATTGATTGTTCACATTACATTTACATCTTTAGTCATTATAAAGCATCTTACTCTTGTCAACCCATAATGCACAAAGTCACTGAAATTCCATTCAGTGCATGCACACTGTAAGACATAGTGGAGGTGTGAAAAGAACATCACATATAAAAATTGACTGAAAAAAGCACATACTCACAGTCACAGTCCGCAAAGACAATATTTGGGTTTTTCCCACCGAGTTCTAGTGTAACTCGTTTCAAGTTGCTTTCTCCTGCAGCCTTCTGGATGAGTTTCCCAACCTGGCAACCAATAATAACCATGTGAGACACACAGTTACATACCAGTGAGGAGTTTATGTAGATTGGAGCAAATGACACTAAAAAGGTAAAGTTACACCATTCACAAAGACACTTTTTATTGCATTAGATACTAACAGCAGTAGATCCAGTAAAGGCTACTTTGTCTACGTCCATGTGGTGGGAAATGGCACGGCCTGCTGTCTCACCATAACCCGGCACCACGTTCACCACTCCTGGAGGAAACCCAGCCTGAACAGAGAGAGAGAGCCACTATAAATCATCCTCTTTACTGAGACATAATGCTAAAGTAGGCTTTCTAGTTTTACTGCTACACAAGGCCTTGACAATCTCTCAATGCTAGTTTATGGCTTTTGTCCACATGTATATCATTGTTGTGTAGCAGCAGTAATAATCCAAGTACCTCTTTGATGAGTGCAGCCATGTGCAGTGCTGATAATGGGGTCTGTTCTGCAGGTTTGATGACTACAGTGTTCCCACAGCACAGAGCGGGAGCAATCTTCCACGCAAACATCATGACTGGGAAGTTCCACTGTGGAACAAAAAGGTATAAACATAAACATGTTCAAGTTGCAGAAACAGGAGAACCTGGTTACACAAATACTCCTCAGATTTTCATCAAATGGAAAGGAATTCACAAAAACGATAAGATCATGGCATCTATAGAAAGGGTGAAAAGAAAAGGCTAATTGTGTGTTTTGTCTCTTTTTTTTGCCATGTCTATTTTTTAGTTTGTAGGAACATGAAGAGAGACAACTCTACTTTGAAGGCGATGCTAAAGTTTCAGGTTTTTACCTCAAAACTGTTTGTTTTAAATCATTTAAAGTTTATATACTTCCAGATTTCTTGGAATCAATCTTTGTGGTTTATTTTCAATGTACTGAAATAGGCTTTACATTTTAATCACACATAATTGTAAAATTGTATAAAATTACAATTTATTCAAACTTTGCTCATTACAGCTTCTAGTGACTAGAAAGCCCAATATAATAACAATTCTGAACTTCAAGCAACTTCGGGGCATTTTTTGCTTCTGTTGTATTTTTTCCTGACTGTGGCTCATTTTTGACAGCAGTATAAAGTCCTGCACCTCTATGGAAACTGTCTGTGATGCTGTTTTACGCAGTTATAATGCCATAAAACTTTTTGAAAGCCTATCCCAGCTGACTTAGGGCAAAGGCAGGGGACACCACACAGAATGATCCTGGTGCCCTCACAGGGACACAAACTGGCAACCTTCTTGCTGCGAGGCAACAGTGCTAACAACTGCGCCACCTTGCAGCCCTGGAACCAACATGTACAACATTTTTCCAAGTGTTTACAGGTGTTACTAACTGGAAAGAACTATGATTCTACGACCTATTTTTATAGCTGTATCTGACTGTGTCTGTCGTCTGTTCGTGTGTCTGTGAACAGTCTCTAGCTCGAGTGCTAAGGTCTAACAAGCTGATGTTTTACAGGTGAGCTAGGAATGGCCTCTCCTCAGAATGATTTGATTTTGAGGTCAATCACTGCAAGAACAGCTCTGCTAGAGGTCAAAGGTCATCTTGTTCAAAAATGCTGTATCATGGCCAGCAGGAGCAGCCCCCTACTGAGGGCCCTCCAGTTTAAATCTGTTTCCATACTTTTCTCTCTGCTGTAAGTAAGGTACAACCTGCAGTTCAAGTAAAAAGTGACTGTTACTAATGGGTTCACAGTTGTGCCAAGGAACACTTTTTTGCTTTTAGGGAATCTGGTTGAAGCAGTGAGACATGTAAAGTGATTTCGATGTAACATTTCATTTTCAAGCTGAGACTCGGATACTTTTCAGTAGTTAAAGGACCATCGCATTTTTACAGTTTTTGGCTTTTGTAGATGCAAGCAATGAACATTTTTAAGGATAACAAGCCTTTCAAATCTGCTGATGAGTTTTGGGGTTCAGAGGTTAAATAAATGTTTGCTATGTTCTGTATCCAGTTTCAGTATGTTTGTAAAGGATCATTTTTGTACTCACAGGAATAATCTGGCCACATACTCCAATGGGCTCATGTCGTGTGTAGGTAAAATACTCTCCATCTAAAAACATACATACAGTTATTTCATTAGGGTGCTGAATTCACTCTGGGTCTTTTATTATGTTGAAATATATTTGTCAGGCATAAAAATGATAATAATCTGAATATATCACTTAAAGTTGTGAGGAATCCATTGTGAAAAGGTGCCAACTTACCAACAGGGATGGTTTTGCCATGAATTTTGTCTGCCCAGCCACCATAATATCTCAAGGTCTTGATTGTGGCCATCAGATCTACAAAGTACGCCATGAGAAACACTTTGCCACAGTCCAGAGCCTCTAGTGTCTAGGAAGGGAAAACACAGTAACTAGAGTACAAGCACTCTTACTTTACGTTAATAAACCAGTTGTGTGGTTTCATGGGGCATCCTCTATGTGTGTGTAACTCACTGCCAGTAGGAGCCGATCTCTCTCCACTAAGTCAGCAAGTCTGTTAAGTAGACGACCTCGATCTGAGGCGTCCATGCATCTCCACGGTGATCCCGTCTGGAAAGCGGCTCTGGCACTCCTCACTGCCTCGTCCACATCCTCCTGTTAGAGGTTCGAGTAGAGGAAGTCAAAATCAATCCCTGATAACCAGATCACGCCATAAATTTCACAGTCTTTAGAGCTGTACACCTCAGACCTTTGATTTTAACCAACAAAAATCCCCCTAAAAACAACCTTTAAAGGGGCAGAGAGAGAAGAGATGCTTGTTCCAGGATGCAAAACTCAAAACATAAGGTGATGTGGTGAACAAACTCTACTGCTTCTAGTTTTTTGTACTCTTGCTAGTACACTGCTAGTAAACACTCGTGATTTATTGGTGATATATAATGTACTCACTGAGTCAGCCTCCTCCACTTCACATAGCAGCTCCCCTGTGGTGGGATTGTACACAGGAATCTTTCGGCCGCTGCATGACTCACGCCAGTCATTATTGATGAACAACTGAGGGACCAGAGCAGAAAAACTCACAGAAACAGTACAGTATTATCTCCCCCACTTGTTGTCTAAAAGCACATCAAAGACGGTCTGAAACACATGGTGCGGTGCATCAGCTCCTCTCAGCCAGATTAAACTAATAACAGGCTCCTTGTTATTTAGCAGGAGCTGTTTTGTCTCCTCTGATTCTTTTTACGAGATGCATCTGCATGCCTTTCCAGGTAATTACTGTTCCTAACTGATCCTGTGGTCCAATGAACGGTTTCCTTTATTCTTGTTTCATTTCATTAAAACCGCATTTCTGTTCTCCTGTAATTACAAGCAGAAACACCATATTTAAGTTTCATTTTGGACACAAACCATAGATGCTAAATTGCTACGTCACTGGTGCATGATACCATATTGAAGGGTAGCTGAGCTTGTTATCAACAGGCTGGTGTGATCAAATACAGACCAGATGACAAAAACTGACAATCTGCCCAGCTAGAATGATTTTGCCCAACAGGAAGCATGAAACATTTTAGGATGAGGATAAAAGACACATATCGAAACCATCACACAGCTGATTTGTTTGGGTTTTTCTGTTTTAGAGTCCTTGACTACCTGCTGTAAAACATCTCCACAGATCACTGTGAGGTACATTTTTCTTTAAAAATCAAAACCTGCATTAACAGGGATTGATTTGGATATTTTAATCAGCTTCCTACATCTGATTGTCTCATTGTAAAACTTTGTGGAATTCTGCATACCAGTGATTCTTGTTTTGAGCTCAATTGTCCTCTGGGAACAAAGAAATCTGAACTAAACTGGAGCTCATGTATCAGCTCTGATTGCTGCAGCTCACCTTCGTGTAAAGAATCTGGGGGTCTGGGATTGGAGTGGGCAGGGCCTTCGTCTTTGATCCATCGACACGCTGTGATCTGTGCTCCTGGTTTGGACCCTGGTGGTTACACCCGTTACCAGCCTGCTGTTCATGGCCATTGCTCGCTTGAGAGTTCATGTTGGCATGTTTTACCTCTGCAAAACAGAAATGGAAACTAGTGTTACTCTAACTCCCCTGTATGCATACTTTGTGTTTAGCAATGCATTTGTACATGATTGTGAAAGTTACCATATGGATCACTGAGTGAGAATAGGTCTTTCGTGTAACCCTGCGCATAAGATCTCATCCCAGCCCAGTGGAGTAAACAGAAACTGTGCCAAATGAGATACTGGCATTGTCAGCAGGGTAACACCACACGGTCAGGGGTCACGAGTGGCACCGCAAAGTCGGGCTGGCTCTGAACAGAGGACCGGACCTCATTTAGAGAACAGATTTGGAAGATGCAGGCCAGGACAAAAATACTACAAGAGGCGTGCTCCATCACATTTGCTGGAAAGCAGGAACCATTTTAAATGACTCCTTTTGAAAAAAAAAAGATGCTGCCACTGAAGGGCCTATCCTTACAAGACATTCAAATTACTGGAAAGCATTTATCATGAACTGGCTCAGTAATATTTCATCTTATATTCAAACAAAAACTGACAACTACATGTAATCCCACATAACACATAGAAATACACAGCAAATGTTAACATTTTAGGATATAGAAAACGTTCATTAACATTGCATGTAATTTTTGTATTTAAAGCTGAGGTGACAACTGATTAGAAGATGTTTGCTGCTATTTTAAGCATTTTTAATTATTTGAGTTTTTGTTTAAGAACACTTTTTAAACGTGCATTTCGCAGAACAAGCACTTAGAGAACATAGAAAATGAGCTCCTTCTCCTGTATTTAAAAACAGCTGCAGTGTTTTTATTGCTACTAGAAAGCACAAACTGTCCGCTTGCAGGACTTTACAACATTTCATGAGTCTAAAAAGTTTTTGTTACCTGTGAGTGATGCTGAAGAGGCGCCTCCGCTCTGCTGGATTCTCACTCCGCTCACAGACATGCTGCAGCTGCTCTCCATCCGCCTCCTCTCCGCTGCTTTATATACCTGCAGCTCTCAGCGCTGCAGACCGGAACAGCACCGGAGCACCGGGAGTCCTGCTCGGTACTCGGAGGGTCCCCCGTACACGTGTTGATCGCTGCTCGGACTCAACCAATCACAGCGCAACGCACGTGTCCCTCGATTCAGGCGCGCGCACCCACTCGGTTGACATGACAACGGAGGGAAGGATGAAGTTTTTACACAAGAGAGGAAAAGAAAAAAGTTTGTTTTTCAAAAACTTTTTGATGCGTAATGAGCTGTCAGAAGTCAGAAATAATTGCAGCTTTCAATTCCAATTACCTTTTCATGGATGGTAGTGGCCTTGTTCATCTTTACATAGCATTTAGATTTTACTGGTTTAAAGTAGTAAAAAAGTGATATGCTGATGTAACATTCTGACAGTAGATTAGAAATATATGTGTTTTTATCAGAATATACAAAAACCCCTTGGAGGGTTATCCATTATTTGAACAACACCCAAAAAAACACAAATACAGTTGAAACCAGAAGTTTACATACACTCTATAAAAAGACACATAACGTGTTTCCCCCCTCACTATTTGACATTAAATGGGACTAAACTTTTCTGGTTTTAGGTCAGTTAGGTCAGATTACCAAAATTATTTCTATTTGATAAACGCCAGAATAATGATAGAGAGAAATATTTTGGGGAGTTTTTTTCTTCCTTCAAAGTTAGAAGTTTACATACATTTCCTCAGTTTTGGTAGCATTGCCTTTAAAATACACGTTTGCCTCCAATTAACTCAAATTTTGTCAATTAACCTATCAAAAGCTTCCAAAGTCATGACATCATCATTATCTGGTATAGTAACATTAGTGTGTGTAAACTTTTGACTTTGAAGAACGTAATAAAAAATAAAAAATTATCTCTCTTATTATTCTGGCATTTAACAAATAGATATAAATTTGGTAATCCTAACTGACCTAAACAGGAAAAGTTTAGTCTGATTTAATGTCAGAGAGAGAAGAAAAAAATAGAAAGAGTTAATCAGGCCTTTAAGTGTACGATAGTCTAATATTGAATGAGAAAAGTTAATCTCTGAGAGCCTTACTGTATTACATTCCATTCTATTTAGAATATTCACCTGCTGCCTGAATTGAGTCTTTCCTTTACATAAATTAAGACCAAAAAAGAACAAATTAAATTGAAAATCAATGAAATTAGGAGTTTTTAGGCTCGGTTTAATAATTTTCTGTACACAAGCATTTCCAACGGTTGCAACTCTGATGTCAACAAACAACAAAAATGTAGAAACCTCATAAAGACAGAGCTGCTGTATTGAATTTCACAAATGTGCCTCATAAAATGGCCAGTGAGTGCATATTTACTTGATGGAGTACTTCCTCTACCACTGTTGCTCAGCTGTCATTTGTACAATATGTGTTTCAAGCGGATTTACTTTAAGTAACTAAGATGATGGATTTTCAGGTTTTTAATTCTCCGTGTAAGTTAAATCATATCTCTATTTTTTGTTCCCTGTAGAAACAGTAATCATCAAATTATCAATGCACTGTTGAAAACACAAACCCTAATATTATACTTTCAGTATATAACAAATGAACCTTTTACAGTTCAAACCGATCCAAACACAAGTGGCTTTCAGTCAAGTCCTAATGTCTGGACTTTGCCAGCTTTGCAGTGATGGCCACTTGTATTCCCTCTATCATCAATGAATCAGTTCAGCTGAACTGCCTGAATAAGCCTGTCTCCACGGCAGCAAACATAATTGGGAAGATGTTTGCTTTGATAACGGGCCTCCCACTGTTTCGCTGTCTCCCAGGAACAATGTGATCACATAACTTTGTCTGGTGCGCCTATTTTGATTAGTCTGGAAATACACACATCCTTTTGAGAATTATCCCCTGGGACAACACAACCTCTGTAATTAACCCTCGTTAAGCAATTGAAAAGATCAGTAGAAATGAATTTAGGGAGTGTTGCAGAGCATAGTGGAATCCATCTTCCCATACTAATGCATGCCGCTCTATTTTGTCATGCAGTTCATTTGAAGCAGAAGGAGCTCATTCAAATTCTGTTCGTGCAAAGGTTTTGCATCTCAGAGACATAATTATAGTGAGCTGAAAAGTGTTATGAATTTTGATCTACACGCTGTCTAAGATGTACAAGCAGTCTGTTTAGTTTACCCACATGTTGAGCATTGTGTTCACTCAAGTGTTTTGAGATGTGCGTGTCTGGTCTGTAACTCTGGTCCATTAATAATTGAATATAAGCAACAAATTCTCCTTCTAGACACTTCGCCATGTAATCTGGCTCCACAGAGTCAGTGTGTCTCTGCCAGAGCTAATGACAAGACCGACCCGATTCCGCATGGAGAGGATGTGGACCACCAGGTCAAAGGACCCGTCGCTCGACCTGACAGCACCGGGTGTCCCACAGTTGAGCTTGAGCTAAATTGACAGTTTGATGGAGAGTGTAAAAGAAAGGAGAATGAGTGGAATGAGAGACAGACACAGAAGTGGGGAGAAAGATGTAAGGCAGTCATGGGTGAAAAAAAAGAGGAAATGAGGGATGAAGGCCCAAGGAACAGAGTGAGGAGTGAAAGGGAAGAAACAAGATGTACAAATGTCTTTAATAATCAAATTAGAGGCCGCAAGATAAAAGTTAGAAATGACAAAACATAAAAATGAAAGGAGAATGAAAGACAAACATGTTGTATTTGTCAGGTATTAAACTATTATATTGGCATCAGGTGACTTTGCTGTTGGTAGACAAGTCCACACAAATATCAGTCGTTCCTTGGCAGGTGTTTTACTGCAATTATAACAAAAGTTTGAGCTTAGTTGGCATTAGTATAACTATATGCACCTAAAAGGCGTGAGATGCAGTGATTTGGGGGATGCACGTCATTGATAAACCATAGCATCCTGAGAACACAACCACAGCCAAAACATTGAGTGTGTCTAAACAGACGGACAGCGCTCTCTTGTGACACATTATAGATATTACACTAAACAATTCCAAACTTCAGTGAACCAGTACCCAGATCTTCCCTTGAGCAAACATACTAATATCACAAGGTGTTCTTTCTGTGCAAGCAAAAGCCCTAAATTTAACTACTATTTATGCTTAAGGTGTTAAAACTGACGTAAGAAAGACATTTAATCATATATTTTAATGAAGAATAGGCTTCTTCCATAACAGAAAAGCAAAATACATTCAAATATAGGCTAAAAAAAAAATCACAAAAAATGTACTTGCACATGTTATACCCTCCCATACAATGTATTAATCAGTGGATGGTCATGGCAATAGAGGGACAATCTTTGTTTCATTCATTTATTCATTTCCCATTTCTGCATATTTTGAAACACAATTCACAACACATGACCCCTTTAAAATACATGTTCAGACTACGATCTGCAACAAACAACCTGCCGCTTTGTTGGGACAGTAAGAACTAGAAAGGAGGGGCCCATGAGCATGGTTCCGGTTTGCGGTCAAATGGGCCGATGCAGGCACTGGCTGGCTGGGTCGGACTCGTTCTCCACTCTGAGCCAAGTTTGTCGCCATGTGCGCCTCTCTATTGTGAGCAGGCAGCAGCTCCCTCTGCAGGGGGCCCGGCGACCGCTTAGAGGGACGTCCTGCACTGTGAGGTATCCTCATCAACAAGGTCCCGAAGATCAGACCTGAAGTTTCTGCCTGCTGGTCTCTGCTCTCTGTTGTCCAGGTTGGGCTCTACACTGGTATACACCAAAGTTACAGAGGACACTGTATGGTGAGTTTTACTATGGAGAATATCTGCCTTTTGTTGTTTACTCTTTGAAGCCTACAGTACTAGTCACAATTTCTTAATTTTGACTCTGATAACTTCTTTTTTCAGACTTTTTATTTCTCTCGCTCTTTCAGTATTTGCACTTGCAACATGAGCCTGATCCTGTTTGGGACTCTGCCCATCAAGAACCCTTGTGCCTCTCTGTCCAGTGTCACCGTTGCTCTCTGTGTTTTCGCCTTCCTCCTGATGGCCCTCAGGGGCAGAAAGAGCCACAGGTCCTTCCTCCACCTCCACCGTGACTCCCAGCTGGACCACACAAAATACCCCCCTCCTCCTGGCCCCACACCGTGGCCCCTTGTCGGGAATCTGCTCCAAATGGGGGACCAGATTCATCTTTCTCTCACGTGTTTGAGGCTCCAGTATGGGGATGTTTTCAAGGTATGAAAAGCTTTTTTTTTTTTTTTTTAGATGATTCCAGCAAACATTTGCTTCTGTATTCAGTTGTTTATCTCCTCACTGCAGATGCGTCTGGGCTCTCTGAGTGTTGTCGTCCTGAGTGGGTACACCACCATCAGGCAGGCTCTGGTTCGGCAGGGGGAAGCTTTCGCCGGGCGGCCTGACCTTTTTACTTTCTCTGCTGTGGCCAATGGGACCAGTATGACCTTCAGTGAGAAGTACGGAACAGCGTGGCTGCTCCATAAAAAGCTCTGTAAGAACGCTCTCAGGTCTTTCTCCCAGGCTGAGCCCAGAGGATCCGGTGCCACCTGCCTTCTGGAGGAGCATGTATGCGCCGAGGCCGCTGAGATGGTGGAGGTGATTCGTGAACAAGCTGCTAAAGGGCAAATGGATCATGATGTAACAGGTATAGATCCAGTGACGCCCCTGGTGACCTCAGTGGCAAATGTGGTCTGTGCCCTGTGTTTTGGGAAAAGGTATGACTACAACGACAAGGAGTTTCTCACGATCGTTCACATCAACAACGAGGTCCTGAGGATCTTTGCAGCAGGAAACCTGGCTGACTTCTTCCCAGTGTTTCGCTACTTTCCAAGTCCATCTCTGAGGAAGATGGTCCAGCACATTCGCAGAATGAATGGATTTATGGAGCGGAGCATTGAGGAACACATCAATACCTTTGATAAGGTTTGTAAATACATGTGTAGACAACGATTCAGTTTGAATGGAAAAAATTCTAAAGTTATTACTGATACATTGCCATCAAAACCATTGTTGTTATGCGGGATGGGACCGTCTTTGTTTGTTTGCACTTTATACATTGGCTGTTTTAGTTGGACTCCATACACTGAAACTTGGGATTTGATTTTACAGTCACACCAGTAATTGATGTCTGTCAAGAGAAATAAAGCAGAAGAACAATTTACAATTAAAGCTTTTTCAATCCATAGTGGATATTTAACCTAAAGAGACTAAAATTCTGCCAACCAAGACCATACCACAACAAAGATTTGTTAAAAACTATAATTTATTAATCACTGTTTTGATTAATATTGTATTACCCAAAGCCCACATTTTGTACAGCAACCACAAAATCAAAAATAGATATTTTCACCAAAGGCTTACGCTGTAGATGGCGTGTCTGTAGTGTTGTTTTCTTTAGATCTACCCCACTAATTTGCTTTCCACCATTTCATCTGACATTGCACCCATACAGTAGTAGCTGTGAGTGTAACTGTAGCCAAAAAAATAACAAACAAGTTCCCTGGGACGGACCTTTGTTCTTGTGCAGAGTGGCTAAAATGTTCGCACGCACTCTAATTAGGAATTAGCATCCCACTGGAAGACACGCGTCGTACCATAACTGATTACTGCCCCTTCCCTAATTATTGCTTTAAAATTTTTAACCTATTTTTTCCATATTCAACAATCACACTGTGTTTGACAAAGATAGCTTGATTTTTCAGCAGTGACAATGGCAATGACCTGAGAAGACAGCAGCACTGTTAACTTTCCTGTCATATTGTATGTGTGCCTGGTTGCAGAACTGTATCCGGGACATTACAGATGCTCTGATTGCACTTTGTGAAGACAGAGAAGAAAACAAGGACACATCGGTGCTCTCCAACTCTCAGATCATTCACACCGTCATAGACATCTTTGGAGCTGGTTAGACAAATTTCACATATTTTCATTGTGTTGGTGGTGTCACTGTTCATAGTGATGAAAGCTTTCTTTTTACTGCATTTGTTTGTGTTTGTGATTTTCTAAAGGATTTGACACCATAATTGCTGGATTGCAGTGGAGCCTGTTGTACCTCATCAAGTTTCCTGCCATCCAGGACAGAATACACCAGGAGATAGGTATTGTTTCATGACCGAACATCTGTACCATGTTTCAGGTTGTGCTAGAAAGTGACCAGGAGGGAATTTTAACTGGCAAATTCACTGCTTACAAAGAACTACTGCGTGCATCTTAGTAAAAGAAAGAGAGTTCATGCTATACTAACGAGTGAGGGCCTTCCCAGTACCATTTATGGTGCTGTTCATGGTGCTGGACAGGCGTCATGAAAGGCTCATACTTGTTGTGTTTCTCATAGTCCAAAAATAGAAGGTTGCTCATTCATGATTACAAGTTAATCGAGCTGCAATTTCATTGCAGCTCGTGGTTTATTGCTGACAGAGCAAAACTACCAACTTTACAGTTTTTAGATGTCACCTCACAAACAGTACATCTTAATATTTGAAAAGTTAAATCAATAGATCAAAACTGAATTTTTGTACCAAAAAAGACTCAGAAAGTTGACACAAACAGGCGAAAATGCATTTGTCTATAGCAAATAAATACTTCTTATACAGGGGTGGCAGGGTAGACATCACAGACACCCTGTGACGTCTGCAGTATCAAAATTTCAGGCAGAAGCAACATAACAAAAGCCCAATAATGGCCAGCCCGAGCGTCCTTCCCGGACAGACAGAATCCAACGGCCACCAGAGGAACTCACAAAAGATCAGTCCAATTTGCTGACGCCAGAGGTACTTTTGAAGTGGGCTAACAGAGCTGGTGCTGTCTGTTCTGAGGCACGTTGCATTTTCACAGAGACAGAAAGAGAGAGAGAGAGAGAGAGAGAGAGAGAGAGAGAGAGAGAGAGGCAGACAGAGGAAGCGAGAGAGAGATACTAAGAGGAGACAGGATGAGTCAGAACGAGAGAGGGGTTAGAGAGTTCCAGGGAGACACAAAGGCCATAACACGCAAGGCATTCAACACACATAGTTTAACATTCTTTACTTCCTCATCACTTAAATTAAATTTGCATTAATACAATTAACTGATCAAGAAGCTTTAATTGTATTTACAGCAGGCCATCGATTTACCAGCAACCTTGTTATGATGGAAGCAGTGACAAAG